CATCATAGCTAGTGGCTGCCACTTGTTTTCCACTGAAAGCGTCAAATTCTTCCCTGGACCTCCTCAAAGTGGCTCCTACAGACCACAAGGATTGTGAACCTCCAAATGCTCTGTCCCAGCATTTTGCTATTGGAAGCGCTGCGAAAGGCACAGACGCTGAAGGCAGAAGGAATGGCTGTATCACACGGAGTCCTTTTTTCATGACCCTGCTCCCCATTGTGCAAGGACAGAAAGGGAAAAGTCCAGTTTCCACATGGTTCCCCCCTTACTCCCTGTTCCCTCCCCTCCACCAACTCTTTCCCTCTAGTAACCACCGGCCTGTTGTCTTCTTCTGTGATTCTGTTTTTGTTTCATTTGGTTTTTGGTTTTTGTTTTATATTGTATAGAGGAGATTATACAGTATTGTTTTTCTCTGTCTGACTTATTTCACGTAGGATTGTACCCTGAAGATCCATCCGTGCTGTCACAAACGGCAAGCTTTCATCTTTTTATGGGTTAGTAGTGTCCCTGTGCCTGCCTGTGTGTTTGCATCTATTTTATCCATTCATCCATCATTGGTTACTTAGGTTGTTTTCATATATTGTCTATTGCAACTAATGCTTAGGGGAACACACAGTGCATGTATCTTTTTGAATTTGTACTTTGTATTCTTTGGATAAATAGCCAGAAGTGGAATTACTCAATCATATGGCAGGTAGCTCTATCCTTAATTTTTAAGGGAATATTCACACCGATTTCCACAGCAGCTGTGCTGATTTAGGTTCCCACCAACAGTGCACAATGTTTCTTTTCTCCGCATCCTACACCATGCTTGTTATTTCTTGTGTTTTTGATGATAGCCATTTTAGTAAATGTGAGGTTATGTCTCAATGTGGTTTTAATTGCATTTCCCTAGTAATTAGTGATGTTCAGGGTTTTTTCATGTGCCAATTGGCCATACATATATCTTCTTTGGAAGAAGGTTTATTTAGATCCCCTGCCCATTTTTGAATCAGGTTGCTTCGTTTTTGTTGTTGTTGAGCTGTATGAGTTCTGAATATATTGAGTGCCTTAACCCCTATTAGATGTATGATTTGCAATATCTTGTCCCACACAGTAGGTTGCCTTTTCCCTTTGCTGATAGTTTCCTTTGCTGGGCAGAAGCTTTTTAGTTTGATGTGGTACCACTTGTTTATTTTTGCTTTTTTTCCCCTTTGCTGTTAAAGTCACATCCACAAAAACAACACTAAGACTGACGTCAGGTGGCTTGCTACCTATGTTTTCTTCTCTGCATTTTATGAGTTCAGGTCTTATGTTCAAGTCTTTAATTTGAGTTAATTTTGTGTATGATATAAAACAGAGGTCTATCTCATTCTTTTGCAGGGGGCTGTCCAGCTTTCGCAGCAGCGTTTATTGAAGAGACTGTCCTCTCTGCACTGGATGGTCTTGGCTCCTTTGTTGTAAATGTCTTTCAATGAAAGAGGCCAGTTCGCTATGGGGAGCTTCAGCCTGAGGGCAGGTTCCTGTCTGGCACACAACTAGGGGCCCCTGGAGGGACCTTCGGGGAACAGAAGTGGCGGAAACTGTCTCCGCGCTCGCCCCTCTGCCTTTCTCCGGCTCACCAGTATCTCCCAGAAAGGAACTTACACCTTCCTCTGGTGATCCAGTCTTTGCAGCTGCTCCCGGGGAACATCACCACGTTACCTGGCTCTGGTGGCCCAAGAGGCTATGCCTATGGGTCCCAAAGCACTTTAACCAACAGAGAAAAAAATGCTTAAGCTGTTCCCACCCACAAGGCACAGCAAGAGGCAACAGACGCAGGAGCTCTTTCTGTGAAAGTGCCCTATGAGCTTATCATCGTAACTGCCCAAGAGACAAGCTTCTACTTAAAGACACATCTATGGGCTGACTGTGTCCTTTCCAGAGACCCCAGAGGTAGGCACTCTCTTTCTGCTGTCCGCTGACCAGGCTCTAGAACGCCAGTATCGCCCCGAGGGGAGCTTTTGCATGTGTCTGATTTTGCGGCTGCTGCCCAGGGGATTCCCCTTGATTGCTGGGTTCTGATGGCCAGAGGAGCTTGTGTTCCTGGGTCTCACGGGATTGTAGGGATTGTAGCGATTGGAGAGAGAATTATTATTTTTATCCTCATCTGAGGACATGCTTGGAGGGAGGGAGGGTGGGAGGGACAGAGAGAAACATCGATGTTAGAAAAATATCAGTCAGCTGCCTCCCACACATGCCCTAACAGAACGGAACCTACAACCCAGGCATGTGCCCTGATCGGGAATCAAACGTGCAGCTCTTTAGTGGAAAGGTCGGTGCTCCCACCAACACAGCCATACCAGTCAGGGCACAGAGAGAGTCCTTGGCTGGCGACCACCCCCAGGGCACTGCACAGACTGCAGAGCGAAATACACCTCATTTTTCTGTGAAGGAGACCTATTTACTTGCCTTGGAGCTTCAGCCTGAGGGGCAGGCTCTGCTTTGTCACACCAGTAGGAGCCAGCAGCAGTGCCAGCAGAAGTCAGGGAGCGTGGGCTGGCGGACCCCAGCTTTGCATTTTCCCTTTCCTTTATACACCTTACTGGTATCCCCCAGAAAGGGGCTTATAGTCCAGTCTGGACTCGCAATTTTTGTGACTGACACCCAGGGAACACCGTCAGATCGCCTGGCTTACACTTGCAGTCTCACAGGGATGTATATACTCGCACACTTTAAAAGCTGCTGCCTGAGGGTCTGGCTTCCAATCAGCCTGAATCTAGGTGCTGAGATGCTCCCCTTTGGCATGCAGCCATGTCTTGTCACACCCTCAGCTACTTGGAGCCATTCAAAACAATAGCCTGCGCAGACAACTACAAAAGTTTGAAAGACAACCAAGACTAGGGCAGAGCTGAACAATAAGGTTCATCTCCTACACAAGGCCACTCGCCAGAGGTGGCTGTTTTATTCAATGCATGGAGACCATCACGGAGAGTCAAGCTAAAAAAAAAAAAAAAGAAGAAGAAGAAGAAACAAAGGAATATGTTCCAGATGAAAGAACAAGATAAAACCTCAGGGAAAAAACCTTAATAAGACAAAGATAAGTAATTTTCCTGATAAAAAGTTTAAAGTAATGGTGAACAAGCTGGTCACTGAACTCAGGAAAAGAACAGATGAACACAGTGAGAACTACTTCAACAAGGAGAGAGAAAATATAAGATAGTACCAAAGAGAAGTCACAGTGCTGAAGGGTACAACAGAACCAAAAAATACACTAGACGCCTTCAGCAGACCAGATGAGACAAAAGAAGGGTCAGTGAACTCAAGGATGGCAATGAGCTCACCCCCTCAGAGTAGCAAAATGAAAAAAAGAATGTAAAAAGAATGACAGTATCTTAACGGACTTACAGAACACTATCAAGTGGACTAACATTTGCATGAGGGGTTTCAGAAGGGAGAGAGAAAAAGAGGCAGAAAACTTATTTGAAGAAATAATGGCTGAAAACTTCCCTAACTTGAAAAAGGAAACAGACATGCAGATATAGGAAGCCCAGAAAGTTCCAGATAAGATGAATCCAAGAGATACATGCCAAGACATATTATAATAAAAAGTCAAAAATTAAAGGCAAGGAGAGAATTTTAAAAGTAGCAAGAGGAAAACAACTTATTACTCTATGGGAACCCTACTCCCACCCCTAAGATTTTTCAGCAGAAACTTTTCAGTCTGGAAGAGAGTAACACGATATATTCTACATATATTGGGGGTCCTAGCCAGAGAAGTAATACAAGGAAAAGAAATAAGAGATGTAATAATTGGAAAGAAAAACTGACATTTGCCAATAAATTTGAAAATGTAAAATATGGACAGTTTTAAGTATAATTTTGAAAACTGTGTTAAGGTAAAACCAAGCTTTATATGATAATATGGGTGAATGTGTTCATGATCTTGGGGATGATAACTTGTGCCACTTGCCTGCGTCATTTAATCTAATTCACACAACAGACCTATAAGGCGATATATAAGAAACAGGCCTAAGAGTCCCAGATCATGTAACTAGTAAGGGACAGAGTCAGGATTTAAACTAAGATCTATTTCTTTACAAAGTCTATGTGCTCTTATTCTCTTTCTTTCCCTTTATGTACATGTGTGTTTTATATGTATATATACATATATACTATGTACATGCATGTGCTCTTAATATGTGTATATAATATGTATGTATGTTATGGTGTCAACGTGTATATTTGCCATATATATGTATGTATATACACACACCCACTCTTAATATATCATATGTAAATCCAAATAATTCTTGACAGAGAGATGGCAGGTAGGTAGGTAGGTAGGTAGATAAATATTCCTTCCCTCTACATACCATCGCACATCCCTTAATATATTGCTACATGGTATTTCATCTATAACACAGGATTTAAAAATAATCGTACCTACTCCATAGAACTGTTGAAAGACTTAAAAGGGAAAATACATGTTAAGTACTTAACATAGTGCCAGGCTGAATATGTGATGGCTATTGCTATCATTAATTACTATCTGTATAGCAGATGATTTGGTGTGAATTACGCCCCATGCTTTCTTTCCTTCTGGGAATCCTCAAGGGTGAGAGTGGACATGGAACCAAAGGGAACTCTGGGCGTTGTCCACATAGGACTGGATGTACACAGGCAATGAGTCTGTGACTACTACATATGTAGTGTTTGGGCGCTTTGGCCATAGAGTGGCTCATGATTTTTTAACATAAAGCTACTGGAACCAACTTCTGCTGCCTCAGAGCACCATCTACAAATGTTCCTACATCTGAAATAGCCACTGAGTGGGGAGAAAGTGAGGGGGCAGTGACCAGAACATTCTATTCTTTCACTGTTCTACTCTTTCCAGGGAGTTTCCAGCCTCTATATTTTGTTTTAAAAGGGAATATATAGGAGAAGTCAGGGAAAGGTAGAAGGAGTAGGCGTTTCAGCAGATAATTCTACAGTTTTCTTTAAATTTGTGTTATTTTAAATAGTTGTAGTATTTTACTCACCACCACTGCACAGAGATTATATTTAGGATGTTTCCGAAATATTGGACAAATGTAAGGAGTCAGGTCCAAGTTAGTGAGTGGGTAATGAATATCTGTTCTCAGTTTCCTTTTCATTGTACCCAGAATGTCAAACCTGGAGAGAAAATAAATGTGTGAAATATAAAGTAAGTTTGTGAACAACTCATGAATGAAGTCGACATACCTTGACAAATTCTAAGTACAATTTAAAGTAATTTCTTGGAAAGGTTATTTGGTGCAGACCTGTATACAAATTTTTTTCTTATCTACATATTTAGAATCTCCACATCCATAGGCCTTGCCAAAGCTGAGGCTGGAGAGGCCCAAGGGCTTGAGGCAGGGCGTGAGACAGTGTGGAGTCAGTCCAGTGGGAGAGAAAGAAGGGGTAAAGCCAGGCGCAGCCTCGGGGAGGTAGAAATCACAGACAACTTCCTGGGTTCTTCACTCCAGCTGATGCCGTTCACTCTAACCAAGCTGACTCAGCTCTCCTTTTCTTGATTTTAGCACATGTTGTCTTGGCAGTGTTCTGTTTCCCAGCTCTGAGGTTTTAATGTATCTTTAATAAGTCTTGTGAAACTCTTGTCATATTCTTTACTGCTATACAGATCAGCAATTCCCAAAGCTGAGCCTATATCAAAATCACCCTCGAGCTTCTTTTAAAATAACTTATGTTCATTTTGGAAAAATGGCTGATTTAGATCAGGGGCAGGGAAATTCCTGGGTGAGCCCGAGATATTCTTGTGTCAGAAAGCAAGAAACTTCGCTTTTTTGCCATATGACCCAGCAATCCTATGCCTAGGTATCATCTGAAAAGAAATGAAAACTTATATCCACATAGAAATATATATGCAATGTGGATGGAACTGGAGAGCATTATGCTAAGCCAAATAAGCCAGGGAGCGAAAGACAAATACCGTATGATCTCACCTGTAAGTGGAACCTAACCAACAATACAAAGATGCAAGCAAAATAAGACCAGCAACACTGAAAGGAAAAGAAACCAACAGAGACAAGAGGGAAGGAGGGAGTGGGGGCGGGGAAAAGGAAGGGAAGGGGAAAGTCAAGGAACATATAGCAAGGACTCATGGACAAAACCAAAGGGGAAGAGCTGAGGGAGGGAAAGAGGGAGGGGGCAAGGGAAAGTGGTGGGGGGAAGGCAGAGACAAATGTATTTGAAAAAATAAATAAAAAATAAAAATAAAAAAATAATGAAATATTTAAAAAATTGTATTTGTTTGAATAATCATTATATTTTAGAATGAAAAATAAACAAATTAAAATAATAAAAAAAAGAAATATATATGCTATGGACCCAAAGACTGAGACACCAAGACACATAATTAAAATGCCAAAGGTTAAAGATAAAGAGAGAATCTTAAAAGCAGCAAGAGAGAAACAGAGAGTTACCCACAAAAGAGTTCCCATAGGACTATCAGCTGATTTCTCAAAACAGACTTTGCAGGCTAGAATGGACTGGCAAGAAGTATTCAAAATGATGGAAAGCAAGGACCTACAACCTAGATTACTGTATCCAGCAAAACTATCACTTAGAATGGAAGGGCAGATAAAGTGCTTCCCAGACAAAGTAAAGCTAAGGGAGTTCATCACCACCAAGCCATTATTATATGAAATACTAAAAGGAATTATATAAGGAAAAGAAGATAAAAAAAGATGAACATTAAAATGACAATATGTTCACAACTACCAATCGTTGAATCCAACTAACAAACTAAGCAAACAAGTAGAACAGGAACAAAATCATACATATGGAGATCATTTGGAGGGTTATCCGCTGGGAGAGGGAAGGGAGAAAATAGGGGGCAAGGTGCAGGGATTAAGAACCACAAATTTGTAGGTAGAAAATAGACACAGGGGATGTTAAGAACAGTATCAGTAATGGAGAATCCAATGGACTTAAATGCACAACCCGTGGACATCAGCGAAGAGGGGGACTGCTGGAGGGAATGGGGGTGCCAGGTGGAGGGGGCAAAGTGGAAAAATTGGGACAACTGTAATATAATAATCAATAACATATATTTTAAAAATCTATATGCTAATGTTTATACAGCTGTATTCACATCTGCCTCAAACTAGAAACAACTCAAATGTTCATTAACTGGTGAATGGATAAATAATGTGGTATATTCATAAGAGCAAATACTCCTCAGCAACAAAAAAGAAAGGGACCATTGTAACATGCCACAGCATGGATTAATCTCAGAAAGATTATGCTAAGTAAAAGAAGCCAAATTCAAAAGGCTACGTATGGTATAACACAGGACATTCTGGAAAAGGCAAAACTATAAGGATGGAAATCAGATGAGAAATTTCCAGGGGCTGGATGAGGGAGAAGATATTGATCACCAAGGAGCATGCGCCAACATTTTGGCGGGATGGAAATCGTCTATATGTTGGCTGTGATGATTACATGTCAGCGTGCATTTAAAAAAATTCATAGATCTGTACATCTAAAAAGGATGAATTTTGTACATGTAATTAATTATACTAAGCTAATGAACTAATGAAGTAATGGGCTGGCTCGAAGCAGCTCTCACTAGCCAATTTTAAACAATTTGAACATCAAGAAGAACAGTTATAGTAATGGATAATAAACACATTAGGTTTAAGTATCCATGGGTCCAGAGTGACAGAGGGGAAACTATACCTTTAAATGGTGAGCCTTGCGGTCACTACGTTACCTAAGGGATCAAACCTAACATCACCAATAGCGGGATAAACTTTTACAATATGCCTCCTGATGTGATGTGATGACAGGTATACAACACTACTTATGCCAGATTCTTGCTAAAAACTTTCTTAAAAATGTAGCCTGAATCCAATCATGGGGAAACAATTAAATTAATCCAAAACAGGGACAAATCTAAACAATGGACTCCTCGAAGGCACAATATGAGAACAAATGTTTAAGTATATAAAAAGAGGGAAAGACTGTTCTAGATTTAAAGAGACAGCCACATGCAATGCATGACCTTTGGATCCTAGATTAGAAGAAAAGTTATAAAGCTATTTTGGGGGTAGGGGAATTTACATATGGACTGTATCCTAGGGGATATAAAATTATGGTCAAATTTGTTAGGTGTGATAATAGCGTTGTGCTTATGTAGGAAAATGTCCTTATGTTCAGGTGATACACGGTGAAGTATTTAAGCATGAAATACCATGGTGTTCACATCTTACTTCAGATGGTTCAGCTAATAAAATGGAAGGGAGGGATGGAGGGAAAGAAGGGGGAGGAGAGGAGAAAGAAGACGTGGCAAAGCGTCATCAGCTCATGAAGATTTTAGGGAGGTGGGTATTCATCAAAGAAGTTTTCAGCTTCTTGGTACATTTGAAGGTTTTAAAAATAAAAAGTGGTGTGGGGATATAAAAATTAAATAGTAATGCTTAGATTCTGTCTCAGACCTGTAGAATCAGAATCCGCAATGGTGGGAATTTATTTTTTAAAAGCACTCAGAGTGCGTGCCAGATGTCCACTCACAGATGAATAGTTAAACACAACGTGAGATCCATACAGTGGAATATTAGCCAACCATAAAAAGGAATGAACTTCTGGTACACATGGATGGGCCTTGAAAACATTAGCTAAGTGAAAAAGGCCAGCAAAAAGGATAAATATTATATGAAAGGAGGCAAATTTATAGACACAGAAAGTAGATTAGAGGTTACCTGGGAGAGAAATGGGGGAAGAGAAATGGGGAGTTCTTGCTTAATGGGTACAGAGTTTCTGTTTGGAGTGATGAAAAAGTTTTGGAAATAGTGGTGATTGATTGTTGTACAACACTGTGAATGTAATTAATACCAATGAAGTATACACTTAAAATGGTTAAAATGGAAAATTTTATGTTATATATATTTTATCATAAATTTAAAAAAATTAATGTCATGTATTGGATACCACTGAATTGCACACTGTAAGTGGGAATTGCACACTGCATGGATTTGAATTACATCTTGATAAAGCTGTTCAAAAAATTGGCTCACAAATGTCAAAATCCATACCTTTTTAAGTGAAAGATCACTATTTTTGGTGCTTTGGAAATACTGGCCCTCAAAACTGTTTCTTGCTTAGTGTCACAGAAGGAGCAATGAATTTGATTGTTCAAGGTCAGTGTGTCTTGTTGGAAAAAACACTGGAGACAGTCCTGTTGAGATAAAAAGTTTTTGGTGACCAAACCGCAGCCTAAACTCTGTTTCTAGTAGAACTTCGGAAGAGCTCTGTGAATGGAATCCTCGGTGCTTTGCTTGGCGTTGACAGGTCTGGGAGACGCCAGTGTCACAGGCTGCAGCCCGGACATGTGTAAAATCTAGACGGCAAAGGAGAAGTGCTTGCTTCTCACTTTAGTTCCTGAAATGGATCCAAGTGCCCATCTCCCTTCTACTGTCTTAGTCAACAATTTCATATTTCCAATTTACTTCAGAATGGTACTGACTGTGGTTTTTCCACTTACAAGTGAGGCAGCTGTTGTACATTATCCATCTCATCACAGAAGTGATCTGGTGGTTGAACAATGACATTTCAGTGTTCTGAGGTGGCCCGTAAGAAGCCAGCCACCAGAGCACAGAGAATTAGACCCCGTGCCCACAGGAGACAGGAGACACCCTCAGTGCCGCCACGTACCCCCAGCTCTGGGGTGACCATCAACCTGAAGAAGAAGAGGCGCTCAGGTTCTGTTTCCAGTAGACATGCCAGCACCTCATTTAGAGTCTTTGGAATTTGTTTCCAGCAACCGTTAGCGGTTTGATATGAGAACAAGTCCAGTTCTGAGTAAGTAGTAGGGTTCTAGTGTCCAGTTCTGGTAAATGTGTATTATTCTACAAAGAAATGTGTTACTCCCTGCCTCCTAACTGTTTCCTGCCTTCTACACCGCCCCCACTCTGTTTACAGATTTCCTTTTGGTATTACGGTGAAGAAAATTCAGGTGGTAAACTAAGGTGCTGGATTCCATTCTATTTTCCCAACGCATTTCACAATTATAAGAGCTCAGGACTGAGTCGGAATCTTTTTTATCTACTTCCCAAAATGGACCTACAGACTTCTTAGGTAAGGAAGGGTCATAAAATTTTTGCAAGAAAGTATAAATTCCCTTGGTGCACCAAGCCATGACAATAAATCAAATACACCCCATTTATCTTCTCAACTTTACAATAAGGCTGTTTTATTGAGTACATAGATACACAACTGAATTCACAGTAACTTCTGGCTGTATGTCACTTTTCTATAACATGTCACTATGGCATCCAATTCTTTTTAAAGTAATAAAACAGCTCCTTTCATACTAGAAAACAGAGGAAACAGCCCTAAGCAAATCCAGGGCCAGGATAAAGCCAGACAGAAAGGCACCCAGGAGTACGAGTCCCTACCTGAAGAGAGCACTTGTGTTCCGATGGAATGGGGAGGGAGAGGGCCGTGAAGACTTCGTTCTTGTAGGTGCAGTTCTCACACTTTAAACACATGATGCTGTAATTGAGCTGCCCTTCAAAGAGCCGGGTGATGATGGAGGACTCACTGGTGACCGCCTTTCTGCAGCATCTTGGAATAGCCCTTTTCTCATATGATCTTCTTCGCTGGCACTAAGTCAGGGAACAAATTGGCCCCAAATCAACTACTGGTTATCAAAATATTATTCAATAGAAGGACTTGATTTTTTCTATCAGAATGGTACATTGCTGCCAGAAACCATGTTGTGGATTCAGACAATAAATACAGTAAGGTCTTCTTACGAGCATATATTATGTGTGACTTCTGGCAATTCAGTTACTTCCTTCCTTCGGTGAAGCTGAGGAATGATGCTACCCTAACCTGGTAAAACACATGACCGTGGCTCCATAAACTGACAGCCTATGAAAATGTGACATAGGGTCCTGGGGCGGTTTTTCCTGGAAGAGTCGCCAGGTAAGCTGTTAAAGGACACTTTGTCATGCAAGCTGATCTAGAAGTAAAATCAAGGAATTTCACCTCCCTGCCAGTCCCTTCAGGTTATGTCTCCCAGACGCTTGTTTTGTTAGAAAATACTTATATTTATTTAAAAATTGAAAATTTTGAATGAATATTTTTCAATTACAGTTTACATTTAATACTATTTTGTATTAGTTTCAGGTGTCTGGCATAGTGGTTACACAATAACATAATTTGCAAAGTGCTCCCCCTTGATATTTCCAGCACCCACCTGGCACCGTACATAGTTATTACAATATTATGGACTATATTCCCTAGGCTGTGCTTTACGTCCCTGTGACTATTTTATAACTACCAATTTGTATTTCTCAACCCTTTCACCTTTTTCACCCAGTCTCCCAACCCTCCTCCCCTCTGGCAACCATTAGTCAGTTCTCTGTATCTTTGAATCTGTTTCTATTTTGTTTGTTTATATTGTTCCTTAGATCCCAGATATAAGTAAAATCATACAGTTTTTGTCTTTCTCTGACTGACTTATTTCACTTAGCATAACACCCTCTAGGTCCATCTATGCTGTCACAAAAGGTAAGATTTCATTCTTTTTCATGGCTGAGTAATATTCCATTGTGTAAATGTACCACAGTTTTTTATCCACTTATCAACTGATGGGCACTTGAGTTGCTTCCATAGCTTGGCTATTGTAAATAATGCTGCAATGAATATCTGGGTGCACGCATTCTTTTGAATTATTATTTCTGATTTCTTTGGATATATACATACCCAGAGGTGGAACTACTGGGTCATAAGGCAGTTCTATTTTTAATTTTTGAGGAAAAAAAATTTCCATAGCGGCTGCATCCCCACAAAAGCGCACTAGAGTTTCCCTTTCTCTACATCCTTGCGAGGACTTCGTTTGTTGTTTTATTGATAATAGCCATCTGATAGGTGTGAGCTGATATCTCATTTTGGTTTTAATTTGCATTTCTACATTAATTAGTGACTTTGAGCATCTTTTCACTTGTCCATTGGCGATCTGTATGTCTTCTTTGGAGAAGTGTCTATTCAGAGAAAACACTTTTTAAAAAGAGCAAATCTTAAATCCTTAAGGCAGCCTGATGTAACTGGCCTCGTGGCTGACTTGAATCTCTGGTAGCTCATGCTCAGGAACAGTGTGGCTGGGAGCACACCCTGACTTTCCGGTGACTTTATGCATTTGGAAGATGCATTAGCCTCAGTCAGCTCTACTTTAGAGCTGTGCACGCCACTCCATTGTGGCTTCCTTCTTCATCCCACCCTGCTGCTTAGGTCTTCTACCCTGGCAGTAATTTAATGACCCTAATTCCAAGTTTGGTCTTGAGAAGCAGAATGTTATCTATTTCAGACTAGCTGGCCGAGAGGACCTATGTGATTGTATTGACCACCACCTCACCTCTGGCTAAGAAAGTGTTGCCATGAATATCTTATTTGGAGTAAAAAGAAAACATGAAACTGAGGGTTGCAGATGAGAATGATTAATGGCTATAGTGTGATCTTTTATGCTAAGTATTTCCTGGATGTTAGCAATGAGGTAAGCTGATATCACAAGGGCACTGCCTGAAGTCAAGGGCATATCTTTGGAGAGTGTGGGTCTCTCATAAAAGCTGAAGTCAGAGAATCTAGTAAATAAAAGCAAAAGAAAGAAATAAAAAAACCCCTTAGAAACTGGGATTTCATGTTTTATTAAATGTATGTCCTAACTGAATGAAGAACTCAGGGTAGGTGTGTTTGGTATGAAGATAAAACTTTGCAGTATATAGATGTGCCCTGTAATCTAATACTGAGCTTAATAGTTTCTTGGGTTTGTAGTTACCAAGAACATTTATTTTAAGTTGTAAAGTTCTGTATGTTATATCTCATGAGGAATATATTTTTATAAAAAATGTGATTTTTACGTTTTTTTATCCTCACCCAAGGAGTGCCCACCAATTTAGAGAGGGGAAGGGAAGAGAGAAAGAGAGAGAGTGAGAGATGGGGGTTGGGGAGAGAGAAACATCCCTGTGAGAAAGAAACATCGATTCTTGATCAAGTTGCCTTGATCAGTTGCTACTCGGACGCACCTTGACTGAGGATTGAATCCACAGCCTAGGCATGTGACCTGACCAGGAATCGAATCTGCAACCTTTTGATTTATAAGACGATGCTCCAACAAACTGAGCCATGCCGACCAGGGCTGCAATTTTCACTTTTAAAAAATAGTCCATTCAGATGTAATTTGCAAAGGGCACTAGATCAGTGGTTCCCATACCTTCTGGTCACTGGAAGTATTGTACCAAGCGCGCTTTCCCAGAAGACAGCCCCAGACATTCAAACTCAGTAGCATTGGAACGAGGGCCTTAGAATATGTCTTTAAAATCTACCTCGGTGATTCCGATGATCAGCTGAGTTTGGTAAATACAGACCTATTCAAATACTAACTTGAATGTTCCCCCAGCACCTGCGTTTGGCATAGAGTAGGCAATATTGACTGAACAAAGGAAGAGATGAAAAATAAAAGTTGCCAATAGAGCTGAATGTCTATCCTATTTCAAGGCCATTAATCCCACTTACCTTTTTCAGAGATTCATGAAGTTCATTCAGGACATAAATCAAGAATTCCTGAGCATCTTGTTGTGTCTTTTTCATAAATGCTGGGTAGAGGTTGCCAAGGGCCGAGCGAAATATTTCTGGTGAGACACAGTCTGAGTCTCCGAGCCACATGTCAGTCATGATATAGGCAAAGGCAGCGGCAACCTTACTGCAGTCCCTTGGAAGACAGAAGGGGAATGTTTCTGGCTGACGTAATGAAGGAAGGCACCTAACCACTTGAACGTACGGCCATGAGACCGAAATCAGAGCTTCGTTCATTTCGTGGTGGATCTTCCCACTTTACTCACCCTGGAAATGGTACCTGGGGTGCCGCAGCCTCTACTGACATGTTTAGCCCTGAATAGGGATTCCAGAAGGCTCCTTCCCTCACCTCGCCTTCGGGGAGCAGGAAGAAGGGGCTGGACTGCGGGGAATGCTATGGTCTTACTTTTGAAGAGCAGTGATGTACTTTCCGGAGAGAAAATATTCCACTAGCGGTGAGATGCTGCAAAGACACTGCAAGATGGCGTTCATGTAGCATGTGTTGCCCAGATTCCGCAGGCCAGTCACACCCTGGAAATGGGGCTTGTCCTCACCAGCCTTGCTAACTGGAATGGTATCATAGCAATTGGCGCACTCTGCGCTGTTGGTGCCACGGGGAAAGAAAAGAAACCATGTTGAGAGAATAAAGTACGTACAGATGACAGTAAGTCTCTCTCAACCTCATGACACAAAGAAGAGTCCCTAATAGGGTTTCTGCCAAATGAAATCCCTAACGAGGACAGAAGTACTCAAACCTGGAGTCTAAAATTGCACTACTTAGTCCAGAACTCTTTGAACAGTGCTTGCAGCCAAACAAGCCAAGATAAAGTTTCTTCCTAAAACCAAAGCAAGAAGACAGAAAATATCAGGCTTTTAGAATCCTAGAATTGCTTGGCTAAAAATGCAAACTTTCCCTCTAAATACCAAAGTATTTCCTTTTTCACAGGGCAAGTAATTTAATTATTATTAGTAGTAATAATAATAGATTATAGTTAATAATAGCAACAGCTCTCATGAATTGAGCCTGGCACTATGTTAAGCACCTAACATGTATTTTCCATTTAATTCTTTCAACAATTCTATGGAGTAGGTACAATGATTTTTGTGTTATAGAAGAGATATCATGTTTAAGTGGTTTAGTCATTTGTCCATGGCAATACGTTAAGGTATGTGTAGTGGTATGTAGAGAGAAGGAATATTTATCTACCTGCCTACATAACATCTGTTGAGAATTATTTGGACTTAGGGGGGACGTGGGGACCCGTGAGAAAGTGAAGGGAGCAGCCAAAGGACATATAGGCGTGACCCATCAACACGGACAATGGTGGGGGGACTGCCTGAGGGAGTGGGGGGTGCAGAGTGGGGCAAAGGGGGAAAAATCAGGACAACTGTAAGAGCATAATCAATAAAATATTTTTTTAAAAAGGGTTATTTGGACTTATATGTCATATATTAAGAGTGGGTGTGTGTATACACATACATATCTATGACATTGAGAGCATATTATATATATATACTAAAAGCACATCTATATGTGCACATTATATATGGATATACACACACACATAAAACACATATATACATAGAGAGGGGGAAAGAGAGTAAGAGTTTAGACTTTGTCATAAATAGAGCTTAGTTTAAATCCTGACTCTTTCACTTACTAGTTACATGATCTGGGACACTTATGCTGGTTTCTCATCTATAAAGCTACTCCCCTTGCAGTTTTGTTGTGAGGATTAGGTCAAACGATGCAGGCATGTGACCAATTACATTGTTAAGAAGTGGTTACCCAAGACATCTTTAAAGAAGTGACTGATCTAGGGTGTCCTTAATGGTAAAGCTACAGAATTAGAACGTTCGTTGAATCAGCCAGGCCTGCCCCGAGGAGGGAACACTGTGGACTCCCAAAGGGCACTCCTGCCTCCACCGGTTCCTTTTGTAATTTGGCTATTGAGCCAGGGAGTCCCGCATCTTTGTCCTTTTATGATTCGTCTTTCCATCTACGATATTTAAAACAGGGTCTGCATGAGACGGCTACCTCGCCTCAGCACCTCTGCTCACAATTCTGTCAGTTTGAAAAGTGCTCACTCACTCTCCCATGGAGGGTAATTTTCACTTACATCTACCGATGTCACTCTAGGGATATCTATTGCCTAGATATTAAATAATCTCTCCCTTTGCTTTTGGGGAACCTCCAGTGGGTCCAGTCTGGGGGACTCCTTCCAATGCGGCATGTGCCCCTGACTGCTTTAGCATGGCCTCCCCCATCCCACCCTCCCCCAGACTGGGATAAACTGGAGGGCTGTAGTAGAGAGAGGCTCACAGGACGTAGTAGATACTGAAGTCATCTGCGGGGAAAGGCCGCTGCGAAGTCATTTTAGTGAAACCACGCTGGACTTCGCACTTCTACTCAGGAGCAACATTTTATCCTTTTAACTTCATTTCTCTGAGCCTGTTACCTTGACTCTTTTTGTTTGCAATAAACAATTTATATGTTCCTTCTCCCCTCCTCAGCTGAAAACTGAGTTTTATCTGGACTTTAGGTACATTCCACCTTGGATTTCCTATGCATCATAATTCTTTCCATTCATCTTCAATATTCTATTATTGCCATGAGATACTGTTACTTGGTTGCTTGGAAACTTTTAGCAGTTTTGCTTTCAAAGAATGAACTAAGTATATAACATGGCTTCCCCCATCACTCAGTTGTTCTTGCGTATATTTATTGAACACACACACACACACACACACACACACACACGGAAGACTGAATGCCACAGAGGGAGTGGGCACCGTGGTAGCTCCGCCCACTGGGCGCTCACGCTCCCCTGTGACTGCCACTCTTGGGGCCCGCAAGGCCTGTTTCTCATCCTGGGGACGGAGGAAGTTGGATTTTGCTCCTTCCAAAACAAGTACTGGGATAGACTGGATCATCAATTATGGTGCGCACACCTAACCCCGCTAGTGCCAAGAATGGGAAATAGAAAGGGTTTGACATAAAAGAATTTAAAAGCTGAGAAGTGGCAGAGCGCACAATAACCTCCCGAGCTCCCATGTTCTTCATAGAGTATTGTGCTTAATAAAGCCCTTCAGTAGAGAGGGTTCCTCCACGCCATACTCTGTCGAGATGAAAAGGGGTCAGAGAATATATGCAACCACGTAGCATGAAAGCAACTCGGCCGAGGAAGTGGTCTTGCTGGCGTGGGGTGCCTCTGGAGCTCCAGAACAGCACCATCCTGTTCTTCCTTCGCTCTAACTCAGCGTCTGTAGGGCAGTGATTTCCAACTTTTTCATCTCTTGGCACACATGAACTAATTACTAAAATTCTGTGGCACACACGAAAATGTATTTTTTTTTAAAAAAAGGTATAATTTTGATTTATTTACACCGAATGGCTATTGTTGTATTGGCTGTTGTCATTTAATTTGACAATCTAAGGGAAAATCTAAAGATCAGTGCCCCTAAGTAGTCAGGTATCACATGTGTTAAAAATTCTTACCCTGTCCTTATCCCTTCCCCTATTGATCCCTAAAATCAATAAAAATATATCCTCTGGTGAGGATTAAAAAATACTAATAAAACATTTTTAGAAAAATTATTGCACCACTCGGGTTGAAAATCGCTGTTGTAGGGAGTAGGTAAAGAAACAGCCTTTAGGACCAATCCAATTTGTCTTTTCTCAACTCTGCATCAAATAAAATAAGGAGGTAATAAAAAAAACTCTCCGAAAATATCAATGTCAGGAAAGATAAAGAAAGCTGATAATTACTCCAGATTAAATAAACTAGAGAAACAAGAAAAATACAACACCCAATCCTAGATGGAATCTTGGATTAGGAAAAAATTGCTCTAAAAGGCCATCATTGGTACAATTGATGAAATCTGAATATGGATTACATATGAAGTTTTATACCAATATTGAATCTTAAAAATGTCACAAAACTGTACTGTTTATGAAAGAGAATGTCCTTGTTCTTAGGGGATACACACTGATGGATTTAGGGTCATGATATGTGCAACCTGCTCTCAAATGGTTCAGGACACCCAGCGACACACACGTGTGGGAAGGAGGGAATGGGGGGGTGATAAAGCAAGGTGACGCAAATGCACAGCCAACTGTGAGCAAACGGTGGGCCTGGGTGAAGGTACATTGCAGTTCTTTATAACATTCTGTTCGAAATTATCTCAAACTAAAAAGTTAAAAAAACAAGAATATTGTAGATATACTTATAATATGGATTTATCTCCAAACATATTATTGGTAAGTCAAATAAGTAGAGAGTTTGCCTGTAGTATGCACACTATTTATGTTCACATGGCTTTAAAAACATACATATATGCCCAGGCTAACACAGACATTAGGAACGGTCATTCTTTGACACCTTGCTAAGGGATCCTGGCAACTAGAGGTACTGACTCTTATAGCTCCTTGATATTTGGTATTTGTGGCCTACTTATGGAGGTGTTTCTTGAAAACACCTCAGTGGATGTTCTGTAGGTCTTGAATCCTATCGTCCTGTTCCTTTTGTCAGTGAAGTTCTCCCAAGACTTTTAGTTTCATGCTAAAATACAAGTGAGGTAAAAAAACACTTCATGTATTTATCTGGTATCTAGAAGCCTTTCTAAACTTATGTCTAATTTTTATATAGGTTTTCATACAAATTTAAGTCATTTACAAAAAAACCCCACTCTTTTTCTAATTCTTGTGACTTTTATCTACCCTTTTGAACTAGCATCTCCAGAAAAATACTGAATAGAAGTGGGGATGACAAGTATCCTTAATACCTATTTGGACTAAAAGGAGAAGCTTTGCATAATTCACCATTAACTATGATGTTTGCTAAGGACATAGTTTTTGAGAGTTGTAATCAAGAATGGATATTGAATGTGATTAGGTTTCTCTCTTTTGTGATAATCATGAGATTTTTCTTCTTTACTGTTATTATGCTTAACTATTGATTATGGCTATATACAAGGTCTGTCTGGAAAGAGTCCAGCCATTATTGATATGAGAATGGTTTGCATGACATCAATGTAACCTGGTATCCAAGGACAGTGGACTGGAATGCACATGCGTGAACAATGACGGCCTCACTGTACTAGCCAGTTGGGGTGGTAGGCACCATTAAGTGAGCATGCATACTGTGTGGCTGTCACATTCAACATGACTGAACAAATAGAGCAACACATCTGCATTAAGCTTGACCATTCCTCCACAGAAAGTATTGAGAAGGCTGCAGATATGGCAACTGGTGATCAGCAGCTTCATCACAATGTAAACCCTCATGCATCATGTCTCCTGCAGATTTTGGTGAAATAGCTAATCACCCAGGTGACTCAGCCAAGATTTGGTGTCCTGTGCCTTCTGGCTTGTTGCAAAACTAAAATCACCTTCGAAAGGGAGATTTGACTGTTGATGAGATTCAGAAAAATACAACAGGGCAGCTGATGGCAACTGGGATAACTGTGTGAGGTCCCAAGCTGCCTACTTTGAAGGGGACTGAGGTGTCATTGTCCTTTGTATGCTGTTTCTTGTGTATCTTCTTAAATGTCTCTTTTTCCTATTATATGGCTGGATATCTTCTGGACAGACCTTTGTATTAAACCTTTGTATTTCTTGCCTATTTCTATTATTTTTAAAAAGCTTTAAATGAATTTTTGGTATTCTATATTCATTTTTTGATTGTGAAATTTTTTCCCCAAACCCCCCCAACTATTAACCCGTTTTTAGATATGTTGCAAATACTTTCCTATTCTATTACTTGTCCTTTTATTTTTAATATGTATATTACTATATAGTAAATGTTTAATAATCATATTGTCAATATTTTACTTTATATCTTCTGGGTTTGAATGTTTTACTTCAGGGTAAGAAAAATATTTTGTATTTTCTCCTAAAACTCCTTAGATTTTACATATTTTTAACTCAACTGAATATTTTTTGTATAATGTGTGAAATAGGGTTGTTTATCTCAAGTCATAGTGGTCCGCGTACCTTATTTGTTGAATAAGCTTTATTTCCCCCATTGATTTAAAATATCAATTTAATCATATTCTACATTGTTAGATACATTTGTTTCTAGAATGCTCATTTTATTTCATTGATCTACTGGACTACTTCTGTGCTTGTGTCATGTTTTAATTGCTGAGACTTTGTAATGGATTTAAATTTTTTATATTTTATAATGCATTTTGACATTTAAAATAAATGAAACCAATCTGAGTTAAAAAAAAAGACGGAATTCCTACCTTTTGCAACAACATGGATGGAACTGGAGAGTATTATGCTAAGTGAAATAAACCAGTTGATGAAAGTCAAATACCATATGATCTCCCCTGTAAGTGGAATCTATTCAACAAAATAAACTAATGAACAAAATAAACCACAGGCATGGAAACATGGGGCAGGCTGGAAGTGACCAGAGGGGATGGGGAAGGAGGACAATGGTGGAAAGAAGGCACTAAAAAAAGAACATGCATGAATGACCCATGGACGTGGACAACAGAGTGGGAATTGTGGGGGCGGGGGGCAGGGTGGGATGGGTGGAGCAGGGCAAAGGGGGAAAAGTTGAGACGATAATAGAATAAACACGGTTTAAAAATAAAATAAAAAAATTAAAAACCACGTTTATTATCCCATAGTTTTTATAGGTCAGAGTCAAGGCACAGGGCTTAGCTGGCACTACATGTTGCACTTAGTTATCATGTCTCTTTAGTGTTCTTCAACATGAAACAGTTGTATGCATCTCCTTCACTTTCAAGAACTTTACCAATTTAAAGATTACTGGCCAGTCATCTTGAAGAATATGTATAACGGCCACTAGCGATTTGGTGCTATGGCTTTAATTCATGCTATGGTACCAGCAATTTTATCCATCATGACTTTTGTCCCATTAAAAGTATCCTGGAGACTCTCAGGGTCTGTGGTCTACTTTGAAAACTAGTGACCTAATTAATAAGTCTAGGCAACGACTACCACAAAGACAAGACAAGCAGACCTGTTTCTAATTCTCATCTGAGGACCTTTTTTTTTTTTTTTTTTTTTTTTTTTTTGAGAGAGGGAGGTATGGAGGGAAGGGGAGAGAAAGGGAAAGATGTATCTGCTGTCTTCCATCCATTCCAAGACGAACCTGCAACATTTTGGTTATAGGACGACGCTCCAACCAAGCCACACTGGCCAGGGCCAGGTCTGTTCTTAATGGAAGCATACACCACCACCAATGAAGCATTCTTGTCAAAATACAATCTTGAATCTTACCAAGCCTGTACACCTAATACCTAGCTTATGACATATACAGAGAACAGACACATGTAAAATGACACCTAACACATAATCAGCAAAGCACTGAACGTGGGAAACTTTTTAGAACAAGCAA